TTGTTGAAAAACCATTGGTTTTTTGATGTTTTTATGTTAAAATCGCTCCGAACACTAAGCTTTTGGAAGGATTTCGTCTTGCGCGCGCGAATGTCCACTTTACCTTATTTTTTGCAAGGGATTCTTGAAATTTGATTATATTAGAACAAGAAATGTCATTTTATAGTGTTTTTTGCAAGGGAAAGCGGGGGGGAACAAAACAACCGGATCTTGATCACATCGAATTACCTGAGGCTTCCTCACGAAAATGATGAAAATGTAGCTGCGGCCTAGGCGGCGCAGGGGGGCCGTGCACCAGGGGTCCCAACAATAATTATTCTTTAGAATTAATAATGTTCAACAACAACAACAACAACAACAACAACAACAACAACAACAACAACAACAACAATCATTTTACCCGAACGCGTGGTGTTCTCCCCAGTGCCAGGGTTTTCATACGACACCAGGCAATACCCCCACTTCGTGGGGGGGCATTACAAGCTCTACCAAATATCCAAACGACTCTTCGCGACCACCCAAACCCAGCTTCCCGCCCTATGACGTTGGGACACTTCACTTCGTGGCGTGCGGACGACCGTGGCTACTACACTGGCGCGGGGTACACACCCACAGAACTTGGTCACTTATTCGGGGCGGTGTATGTCCCGCAAAAAAACGAATCTGTCCCGCATGGTATTATTTGACAGGGATGATGGCCCTGGCAGGTGCGCAACCGTTGTCGCAGAAGTTCGAAAAAGTTGCTCGCAAAAGCCCGTTTGACAGAAATGTTTAAAAAGTGTTGGGTTTCCTACGAATCCGCAAGAGCGCGCGGGATGAGATTTTGACATTTTTTTGTTGAAAAACCATTGGTTTTTTGATGTTTTTATGTTAAAATCGCTCCGAACACTAAGCTTTTGGAAGGATTTCGTCTTGCGCGCGCGAATGTCCACTTTACCTTATTTTTTGCAAGGGATTCTTGAAATTTGATTATATTAGAACAAGAAATTTCATTTTATAGTGTTTTTTGCAAGGGAAAACGGATTACAACAAAACAACCGGATCTTGATCAACTCGAATTACCTGAGGCTTCCTCACGAAAATGATGAAAACGTGGCTGCGGCCTAGGCGCGGCGGGGGGGGCGCGCACCAGGGGGCCCAACAATAATTATTCTTTAGAATTAATAATGTTCAACAATAACAACACCAACAACAACACCAGCAGCAACAACAATCATTTTTAGACTGTTCGCTCTTACTTGTCCGCGTGTCATCCAAAACGGCTTCCCCACACCCTCGATACCCGCTCTTTGTGTCTTTGATCACAACCACTTTGGGGTGATTCTTTCCCCTTGCGGGGGGCGGCGGGCTTAGACAGGCGGGCAAACATGAACGGGCGGACAATCCTCCGTGGGCGTACATGTGCCCGCCATTGGAATTGGTGTGGGGCCTGCAAAAAGAGGAAGGGGAGAACGAGGGAGAGTGGGAGGAAGGGAGGGGGAGGGACGAAGGGAGAGGAAAGACGCCAGGAGAGAAGGATCGAAGAGAGGCAGACAGAGAGAAAGAGAGAGAAGAAAGACAGACAAGAGAGGTAGATAAAGAGAGACAGAGAGAGGGGAGACAGTGAAAGAAAGAGGGAGAGAGGAGGCAGGAGAGGGGAGGGAGAAGGGAGGAGGGAGAGGAGGAAGAGGGGATAGGGCAGAGAGGCATAAGGATAAGGAAAGAGAGGAGGGAGAGAGAAGGGAGGAGAGGAGGGAAAAGGGAGGAGAGAGAGGGAGGAGGAGCAGGAAGGTAAGAGCGTGAGCTTTCGAGGAAGTCCGAAGCGAAAGCGGCGTCCCTGAAGGAAGTCTCGGGCGGGAGCCCACGACGGGCGGGCGATCCCCTGACGGGCGGGTCGGGCGGGTGGGTGATTCAAGCGGGATGCCTGAGTATGGCGAGAGCGCGATTACGTACTAATTGTAACGGCGTCCTTGGCGCAGGGTGTTTCCTGAGCGTCGAAAGCGCGATTTCTGAATCCGCCGACCCTGTCGGCGTGTGTGAGGGGCTTGTCTTTCTTTCTTTCGCGAGTTTGCCGCCTCGGCCCTCCCGGCCTCGCGGGTCTCTCCCGGCGGACAGGGGGAGACTACGCAACAATGCTTTCACAATACGGTGGACCGCCGGAGGCTCAGCACCCTCGACCTGCACGTCCGCACATAGGCAAACCCAATGCAAATGTAGCAGGGGAGTGCTGGCCACCCACCGTTTTCTCCATCATTCGTTGATCGTCGTCTCTGTCGTCCCCTTTCCCTGCCCCCCCTTTCCCTGGGCTCGTCCAAGCTCCCCCCTTTCACTGGGACCTCCTCAGCGCGCCAGCCAAAGCAAAGTTGAGCAACGTCGTAAGTGAGTCGAAGGGAAGCCCGGTCCCTTCGATCCCTCCCCCGCCGGGGTGGGGGGTCCCCGGGGGGGGAGTCAGATACGACGCCCCCCCTGGGAGTCCCGGTTCCCAAAACAGCCCCAAGACGGGCCAAGAGTGCCCCAAGAGGCCCCAAAGACAGTCCAAGAGAACCCCGAATCGCCGAACGATCTGTCCAAGACGCCTTGACGGCCTCCAGACGGCCGAAGAGGCCTGCAAAGCGCCCCAAGGGGCCTCCAGGAGCTTTCCCACGAGAGCCCAAAGAGGCAAACTTCATTGATTTCCCATACGTTTTTGGAAAATGTTTGGCGTTCTTGCCTCTTCCGCTTCCCGACGCGCCAAGACGGCCCAAGAGGCCCCCAAGATCGCCCTGAGACTGCCCGAGAGGCCCCCAAGAGGGTCCCCTAACGGCCGAAGAGGGCCCCAAGACTGCCCAAGACGCCTCCAAGACGGCCCAAGAGGCCCCCAAGACGGCTCCAGGAGAGTGCCCAGACGGGGGACCCGAGCGGACATTTCGAGCGAAGAAACCCCAAGAGGCCCCAAGAGGCTCCCAAGGGGCTCCCAAGGGGCCCCCAAACTGCCCGAAGACAGCCCAGGAGAGCCCCACATTGCCCAGGAGGCCTCCAAGAGTGCCTCGAGACGGCGCAAGAGGAGCCCTGGACGGCCCAAGACGGCCTCAAGAGAGCCCCAGGCTGTCCCAAGAAAGCCTCTGGCCTCCTCCTCTTCCTCCTCCTCCTCCTCCTCCTCCCCCCCTCTGCTCCGCCTACTCCTGCTCTCCTCTGCCTCCTTCTCCTCCCCTTGCTTCTCCTCCACATGCTTCTCCCCCCTCCTCCTCCTCCCTCATCCACCTCCTCCACCCTTCCTCCACCTCCCACTCATCATCCTCCCCCTCCTCCCCCTCGTTTTCATCTTCGTCGTTCTCAGGGTCGGCGGCACCCGCCGTAGGGCTGGAAGTCACAGGCGAGAGCGCAATTCCTGAATAAAATGTGAAAGGGTTCTCTGGCGGGAGCGGGGGTCTTGATTAAAATGCGAGGAAGTCTTGATTCAATTGCGGGGAAGTCTCAAGTGGCAGCGCCGTTCCTGAGTAAATTGTGCGGAAGTCTCAGATGGGAGCGGGGTCCTGAATAAATTGCGAGGAAGTCACAGGCGGGAGCACCGATCATGAGTAAATTGTTAGGAAGTCTCATGAGCGGGGTCCTGAATAAATTTGGCGGAAGTCTCAAGCGGGAGCCGTTGTTGATGTAATCCGGAGGACCAGGGGCCAAATTTGAGCACCAAGGCTTTCCCTGTCAAAAAACAAGGTGCGAGCGTCGAGGGGCACACTTTGATTGAGAAAAAACAGTATGCACCTGTTAGGAGGGCTCAACAATATTATTCTTCAGAAATAAGAGTTCGACAACAACAACAGCAACATCAACAACAACAACAACAACAACAGCAACAGCAGCAGCAGCAGCAACAACAACAACAACCGCAACAACAACAACAACAACAGCAGCAACAGCAGCAGCAGCAACAACTACAACCACAACAACAACAACAACAGCAGCAGCAACAACAACAACACCAACAACAGCAGCAGCAGCAGCAACAACAACAACAACAACAACAACAGCAATAACCACAACTGTACCAACGCCCCACAACACCAACAGCACCAACAACATCATCAACAGCAACACCACCAACAACTACAACAACGCAACAATCATAAACCTCACCACGAATCATAACTTCAGCCACGCACCCAGGGACAATGAATGACCGTTCGGCTCCTCACTCGAACATATATATATATATGTATATATACATATACATATACATACACACATACATACATACATACATACATACGTACATACATACATACATACAAACACACATACCTATATATATATACATATATACATATATACATACACACATACACACATACAACATACATACATACATACATACATACATACATACATACATACATACAAACATACATACATACATACATACATATCTAACAAAAAAGGATAACCACAACTGAAATAAGGAGCAGCAGCGATGAGGGAGGGGGAGAAGGCGAAACTTGGGTGTGGGTAGATGTTATTGCTTCTATGGTCTTTCCTCCCTCATGCTCTTTCGCATCCATCTCCCTCCTCCTCCTGCTCCTCATCATCGCTTGTTTCTTCCAGGAAGGGGAGATCAGATGCTATACGTGCTCTCTACAGGGGTCTAGGATGACGCGGATATGGAGATGAGAAATGAGGGTGGAAGGGGAACGAGCAGGAGAGAAGCAGAAGAAGCAGGGGGGATAAAAGTGTATGCAAGGGAAGTGATCGGTTCTCGTGGGTTCTGGGAGGTCCTTTGTACTCCTGGGGGGATTGGATCTAGCTGCTTCTTGTTATTGAATCCACAGTGCTTGCTAGAGAACGAGGGTGTAAAACGGGGTGAGAAGACGAGAGAGGGAGAAGGAGGAGGAGAAGGAGGGGGAGGAGAACGAGGAGCAGGAGGATGAGGAGTGGGAGCTGGAAGGAGGAGGGAGAGGAGGAAACGCAAACGCGAAAGAGGGTAGGGTGAGATGGACTAGACCAGGAGGAGAGAGCCAGCGACAGCAGCGACGCCAGGCCAGGCACCCTCACTGCACCAGCCAGGCCACCGCGGCGGCGACGGTGGCGACGCCGAAGCCGAGTCCGAGTCCGCGGCGTTGGGGCGCCCCGCTGATAGCGCAGTGGAGGCGGCTGAGGACAACCGGCGAGGCCTGAACGACGACGAGGACGAGGACAAAAGTGAGTCGAGGCTCGAGAAGATCGTTCGCAGATGTCGTTCCCCTGCGATCCCATCGTTGCTCTCAGGCCACGGGACCCTCACCGGTCGACCCGGCGAGGAAGCAATGACGCAGAAAGAATGGTCTCGGGCTCTGGCCGCGATGTTTCGCGATGCTGTTGTGTTGCGCAACGTCGGATCTGAGGGTCTCTGGGGGCTGGTGACCCGGACGGGGTTAGGACGAGGATAAATCCGTTCCACAGCGCTTTAGAACGCCACGAGAAGGCCGCGGCGCCCGAGATAGCCTCCACCAGAGCGCCCAGATCTCAGAGACTTCCGTTCAATCCTCACCCGTTTTTATCCTCGCCCTGGCTTCGTCTTAGTGAAGTCGATGCGGGAAGAAAGGCCAGACAGGCGGGACCCAAAATGAGGGGTCCGGGAAACGATTCCGAGTTGGTTTCGCGGTGGCGACGGCGACGACGGCGACGGCAACGGCGACGACGGCCCAAGCTGCCCCGCAGGCGTTCGCCAAGGGCTCCCAACGTCGCGCTTCGCGCTGCGCGAAGCGCGAAGTGCGAATAACTTCGAGCTCTCGCGCCGCCTCCCAGGGAAGAAGAGGAGGATGAGGAGGAATCGGAGCCGAACCCCGAAGCGCGAATGACTTCGCGCCCTCGAGGGCGCCCTTGCTCGCGGACCCCCCAGAAAGACAACCGGCCCCCCTGGCCCACTCGCCAGCGCCGCCGCCGACACCGCCCACGCCGCCGCCGGCACCGTCACCGCCACCGCCGTGGCCGCCGCGGCGGCCGCCGTGGGCGCAGCCGCCGCCGCGGGCGCCGCCGCCGCCGCAGCAGTCGGAGCCGCCAGCGCCCTCCCGGGGGGGGGGGGGAAGGTCACAGCGAAGCGTCGGGGGCCCCGCAGAGGGGGGGCGCTGGCCGCGCCGCTCGGGCTCGGGGCTCCTCGGGTGCCGCGCGGGGGGGGGCGCGGGCCAGCGTGGGCCCTGGGAGGGGTCCGGGAGGCGAGCCTGACCGGATGTTGGCGAGACCACGGCAAGGACGACGGCGGCACTCGAGGGTCGGGAACTGAAGTTTTGGCAGCTCTTGGCCTTTCCCGGTCTCCTGCGGACGCCCAGGCACTGCCGGCGGCAGCGACACTGACAACAGGAGCAGCAACAGCGGCGACGACGACGACGACGACGACGGTGGGGGCGACGACTACGACAAGAGGAAGAGGAGGAGGAGGAGGACCACGAGGAGGTGGAGGAGGAGGAGGAGGAGGAGAAGAAGAGAGAGAGAGAGAGAGATATGAATAGGAGGAAGACGAGGAGGAGGAAGATGACGAGCAGGACGAGGTCGAGTGAAGAGTGGGACCCAGAAAGTCGAAGGAATGGGGGGACGAGGGCAGGGGAAGAGGAGACACGGGAAATGAACGACGGAGTGGAGGAGGGCGAGCGCAGAGAGGCAGGGTGAGAGACACGGGGGATGTAGACGATGGAGTGGATGGCGAGGGGAGAGGAAGAGGGGTCGGGGCAACAGAAAACAGGGACGATGAGGAGGAGGAGGACGAGGAGGAGGGGAGGGAGTAAAACGGAACGAAAACGAGGCCGAGAGAAAGCAGAGGAGGAGAGGGAGAGGGAAGGAAGAGGAGAAAGGTGAGGCTCGAGGCGGATGGCAAGGATTACGATGAGGAGGAGGTGGATGGGGAGGACAGGGAGGTCTACGACGAGAAAGCGAAGAGGGATGAGGAAATACCGATGGGGAAGAGGGGAGAGGAGGATGGGTGGGGATGGGATGAGCAGGAACAGGAACAGAAGAGACATCAGGAGGGGGACTCGGCTTAGAACTACCGTCACGGCCCTCGAGGATGCTGTAGAAAGATTACGAGGAAGAAGGCGAGGGCGAGGGTGAAAAGGATGACAGGAAGGGGGGGCGGGGAAGATGCAAGCGGTGGGGCTAGGGAACGGGTAAGACTGGAAACGGGAAAGGGGGGCGGGAGGGGAAGGGGGAAGCGGCAGCCAGCCATGACGACGAGAGGGGGCACAGAAGGTCAACAACAAGAGGACGATGATAGGGACAACGAGTACTAAAAATGATAACGAGGAGGAGAAAGACAAGGAGGACGATCGCCTCTTTGACGATGACGGTCGCGACCTGCTTAAGCGCCAGGTTGTGTGCGTAGGCCATGTTCAGCATAGCCGCGGTGCGGTTCGCCATCGTGTCTTGAACGTGGCTCGGCATGTTCGCGGTGATGGCCCGAGGGAGCCGCCGAACCCTTTGGGGATGGCCGGGCGTGCGGGAGCCGTTCCCCCACCAAGCGAACTCCGCCCAGAGCCAAAGCGCAGCTCGGAGGGGGTGCGATCTCCACGGGGGAGGGGGGCTCCTGTGGGTTTTGGGCGCCCGAGTTATCCGGGGTAACTCGGGTCCGGGGTAACTCGGGTTTGGGTTCCCGAAAAACGAACCCGAGTTATCCCTGACCCGAGTTACCCCTGATGATTCGGGGCCCTGGACGCCCGAAATATCCGGGGTAACTCGGGTCCGGGATAACTCGGGTTCGGAATCCCGAAAACCGAACCCGAGTTAGCCCTGACCCGAGTTACCCCTGATGATTCGGGGCTCTGAGGGTTGGATGGGTTGAGGGCATGTGGCGCATGCCTGCGGGGCCCCACGGCTGGCAGTGGCGCGCCGAGCCGGAACGCGATCCTGCGAGAAGTGTATACAATTTTTTAAAAAAACACCTCCTCCTCCTCCTCCTCCTCCTCCTCCTCCTCCTCCTCCTCCTCCTCCTCAGGCACTCAACGGAAACGTAGCTCAAGCAGAAACTCAACGCGAGCACGTAGCTAGAAACCCAGCTAGCACAAACGCAACTGAACATAGCTAACTCAACCTCAGGCGTAGCGCAGCAGGGCGGCAATCTCAGACACTCAACTCATCTCAGACACTCGGCTTGTGTACCAAACGAGACATCAAACATTATGCACGGTAGCGCTGTCTTCGGCACACGCGGCCCGAAGACGGCCCGCGACAATCCCAAGATAGACCACGGGAGCGCGGGACAACACGAAGATGCACCAGAGGCGTGGCAGAGACCCCCCCCAAAGAAGGCCCCAGAGGCCCGGACCGCCCTGAGGCGGCAGAAGGCAGCTTGCCTCTTCCGTGTTCCGAGCGACCAAGCTGACCCGGGATGCACGACAGAACGCTCCCAGACGGCCCGAAGACCCCCCGAGGGGCTCCGGAGGGACTCTAAGGAGGCCCGCGGCGACCCCGGGCCACTGGCACGAGCTCCCAGAGATGCCCCAGGAGGGCCTCGCAGATGCGCCCACGAGGGCCCCTTGAGGTCCCAAAGGGAGCCCCAGGAAACCAGACAGCGCTCAACGGCGCATGATGTGCTGCATGATCTCCGAAGGCTCGCCTGTTCGGTCTGAGCAGGGTCCAAGCACACCCAGACCTGTAAGACCACCCAAAGGCTCCAAAGAGACGCCCCCCCCCCCGACCTCCCATGCGCTTCCAAGAGCATCGAAGAACTTTCAATACCTCCAAGAGGGTCTCGAGAGGCCGAACTCCTTCAAATACGTGGTGGCGTCTCTGCGGTGTGATATAGTCTCACTTTCGGTCTGAACAGCGTCTTGGAAGGCCCAAGGAAGCACTCAACACGAAGTCCGCGAACCGACCGTGTGAACCCTGCCCCCCAAGACGGCCCCGAAGATCCCAACAATTGCGCTCAGGAGGCCTTATGGAGGCATTCCAGAAGCCTCCTGAAGCCCCCACAACGCCCAACAAGAGGCCCTAAAGAAACCCATCCAAAGGCAGATGAGGAGGAGGACTTAGATGATCTTAAAAACGCTGGGGACGTTTTTTTTCCGTTTTGGAGATCGACGTTTTGTTTTCTGTTTTGGGAGCCGTGTTTTTTCTGTTTTGGATTTGCGCCTTGCCGTGTTCGGTTCGTTTTGCGATCCGTTTTTTAATCGTTTTCACCTGCCGTTTTCTGTACGTTTTCGTCGCCGTTTTTGCGAACCTCTCAAAGCCCGTGCCATTTTTGTTTTCTGTTTTGGTTCTCCGTTTTGTGTGCGCTTTCGCCCGCCGTTTTTGTTACGTTTTGGTCCTGCTCTCATCGTTTTGGGCACGTTTTGCGTTACCGTTTTTGTTTTGTTTTGGTCGACCGCAACGCCAGAAGTTGAAAATGGAAAAAAACGCCCCCAGCGTTTTTAAGAACAACTAAGGAGGAGGAGGAAGAGGAGGTGGATGAGGATGAGAAGGAGAAGGAGGAGCAGGAGGAGGAGGAGGAGGCGGACGAGATGAAAGGAGGACATGGACATGGAGCTGGGATGTGGCGCGGGCGAGGAGCACAATTAGCTGAGCGACAAACGTCGTCGCAACTACATGCTGATGGGGCGGATGACGAGGAGGAACGCCACCACCACAGGATCTGTTCGCCCCTTTCAGAACATGCCTCTGACAATGGGGCTCAGCCGAGCCATTACCCGAGCTCGGCCTTCGTAAGCCCTACTGCAACGCACTTGCCTAGAATCTTGTTGTCTTTCATGGTTTGCTGTGCTCTGGAAGAGGTCCAGGGATACCTCAGCAAAGCAAAATTCAGCTCGAGAACTGCCTTTCCGTCCCCATCTGAAAAAGCTGCTTCAATAATGCCCCCAGACCGCAACTACGGCTACGGTTGAGCAGGAGGGCCTTCACGTCTCGGACAGCCGCAGGGCACTGATATAATGTGAAAGCGCGCCGCCACTCATGTTCTGACGCTCCCACCTGCACCCGAAGGCCTCGGAGGTGATCCACCCTTTGCAAATCGTTTTGGCAATCGCGTGAACGCAGCTACACGGGAGATACCCTGAGATAGCCACGACGCGGACGGAGGTGAGCTGCGCCTCCTCGAGGGAGGCCGGGGACTTCAGGCGCGGCAGCTGCAAATGCACGAAGCTCTTGCGCTGTCGGGTGTGGAGCGCATTGTACACTTCGCCCTGAGAGCTATTTTCTCCATGGGTCATCGGATATCCGCGGGATGTTCGCCATTACTTTTTCGCCGAGATGAGGCGCACGCAGATCGAGCAGAGGAGCCGGGGGGGCTGCATGTGTCGGTGACTCGTGTCTCATATTGTCCACTATCTCGTCGTATTTCCCCACCGTGTTCCAAAAGACGCCGTTGGTCTGGGGGAATTGGTAGGCGACACCCTTGCACATGAACGGACATCGTGGTGATGTGCAGGGCTCGCGAGCTGGATCACCATATCCCAAGATATGGGACCGCTCGGCGCGATGGTGAGCCTCTTGAAGCACCAGCGTTCCGCACAAAGTACATCCTTGCACAGCGAGCACAGCTGGCCCACAACACCAGAACCAAACATCCATACGTGTTGAACCCAGGAACATACAAGGAGGTTTTGCCGTAGCCTTTTGAGCCTCAGCCTTCTAGCGCCCAGTGAACGACCAAGGCCCTCCCAAGACGCGACGCGCCCCCCAGAGCCTACATGAATCCCATGTGATCGCCTGCACTCTGGATAGGAAGCCGGTCGACCTGCCTCCAACAGCCTCCTCCGAACTTCAAGAACACCGGAACCACCAAGCAGGCAGATGACTGTCTTCACTGCGCTCATGATCATGCGAGCAGCTCCAGCACTCCTGGCCAAAATTCTCATGCCCACTCATGCAGACGGCTTCCTCGGTGTACCACACGCGCGCCTCATGCACGGACCAGACCGGGATCCTCATCCGGTCGATCACGCACATGATACAGGCTTGAGAGGCACTCGCGGAGGAAAAGACGCTTCTTTGATATCGAAGAGGCAGGCGCGCGCACCGTTGCAGGCCTCGCCCACCTTCCATGGAATCAGATTCGTATCCGGAGTAATGATATGGCCAGACAGCTGTCGGCCAGGGACAACCCCTTCTGCGGTCAATCGATCGTGGCTTGGCCACGCTGTGCAAGGGGGCGCCATCGCGGCAACAATCGCGTTATGGAAAGGCCCATCAGCGTGACCAGGCGCGCGCTGTCCGGAGTGCCCTCAAGATATCTCCAGTCGTGGCCCGCCTTGGGGGGGAGAATCTCTTCAAGGCCAACATTGACGACTTCTGGTCTACCTCCGTCAGAACTGCACAGGCAAAGATGGCTCAGAATTTGGGTCGCAACGTCGCCGCCTCCTTGGTGGGCGCTGTAGGGGATCCCGTCGGGGCCAGGGCTAGAGTCATCCAGCTTGGAGAACATGAGATCGAAGTGGGGCCTATCCAGGAGCGACCGGATGTCCTTTGAGGCCTTCTGACTGAATTCCTCGTAGGTTCCACAACATCCTAGGCCCTGTGGCCGCGCGCGTGCAACTTCTCCCCAGTGGCGAGCAAGGCAGGGAACACATTCGGCAGGGTCAACGGCGGCCTTTCCAGGTTCGTCGAACACTGCCAAAAGGGCAAGGCGTCTCCTAGACGTAGCCCTGGCGAGCCCGAGTTCCTTCTAGCGCAAACACTTCCTACCCCGGACGTGCTTCGTGATGCTAGAGGCCGCCCTAAACAAACCGCATCCCCAAACAAACCGCATCCTCCGCGTGCGAAAACCTCATGGGACTCCTCCGCGCTCGTCCACTCCCTCATCGCCACGGCATTGTATTCCACAAGGCTCGGATATGCATATTGCACGGCTGCACACCAGTCTCTCCTCACATGCCCCCGCGCGAGAGCTAAAATCCAGGATGCCTCCTCAACCATGGGCCCAGGACCTTCAAGTTCACGCCTTCCCCTTTTATCCAGTTGGGGCGCCTCATACATGATGCAGTTCAGGTCCTGGAACCTACTGCAGGGTCCCAGACTCAAGCCTAGCTGCATGACCAGCTCTATCGCGAAGTCCTGATGGGCCAGGACCCTCGTAGCAAAGTTGGGACGCCTTGTTGGAGTTCGAGCACACAGACGGCTGCAGCGAGAAAAAATCTGACGCGTGGTCGTTTGAAAACTGATGTCCCAGAGCGTACCTTACATAGGTTGACAACGGAGGAGATGAGCGGTAGGGGTACAGACACATAGGTGTTCCAACCTGCCAAGGGTGGCGAGCGGCACGCGCTGCATGTGCGTGCGTGTGCACTCGCCCCCGCTGACCTCCGCAAGGCCACGGGGCACTAAATCTGAAGCGGCTCCTGCCTGCTACCGGAAGCCACAGGGCGTCGCCCCCCCTCCTCCGAGAAAATAAAGCCCCCCTTATCACAGTGGTCGATTCGTCGGCTCCCCAGCACCTGTTCCCACCCCTAGCAAAGACCGATGTCTGGGAGGTGGCCGAAGGCTTGAGGTCCACGTGCGACCCGAAACTTGGAAGGCGGCCCTTGGCGCTTGCAAGCTCGAGAACGCCCACGCGCTTTGTTTACACCTAGAAGCGCATGGAGAAAGTACCAGAAGATGGCAGACACCGCTGAGCGTGTCATGGTGGCCATTCCGCCAACATGTCGGGTCCTGGAGACCGTGCCCCAGGACTTGAAGCAAGGGAAGGACCTGTTGAGGGAGATGAGGCCGGGTTTAGCGCCGTGAATTTCCAGGGAAATGGTGCTATCGAGCTTCTCGGTGAGGCGCTTGAGGGGAGCATGAGTAGCGAGCTGAATATTGTACTGTCCCCCGTTACTAAGTATGTGTGGTTACTCCGGGGGACGGCCCATTTCTTGGACAGGAAGGAAAAAACCCTGGGTGGCTGCAGGGCTGAGGGGGGCCATCCTGGGGAAGGCTGATTTCTACACAGGAAAGACCACTGTGAGAGCAAGTGCTTGTGTCATCGGAAGAGGAGCTCGGATAGGCATCCGATGCGGAGGAAGGCCCAGGAAGCTGCTGCACGCGCTGGTCATCACTACCATCGGAATGAGCCACAGCTCGATGCCCACGGACCCCCAGAGCAGACCCGAATTCGAGCTGGACGCGTGCGTCGGCCACTTATATTTTCCAGAGGAGGTCGGGAAGTGAGTCGGAAGGAACCTCCTCATGGCGGTCTCGCTGATGTGGTTCTTCTTTTCTTTTGGCGGATGCGGCGGCCGTCGTTTTCTCGATCGGCTCCTGGAGCGCCTGCTCCATGATTCCTAGCCTCCTGAACTCCTCGAGGGAAGGGCTGAAGGTCCACCCCTTCTCGTCCGAACCCTCGGTCCTGTAGAGTTCGAGCGCGGCGCCGTCTGAGACCCAGCCGATGGGCCCTCGCTATCCGCTGCACCCGAGCTTGAAGCACCACTGCGTGCCTGCGCCTGGCTCGCGCCGCAGCCTGCGTGCGCCAGCCCATCTATTCGATGTCGCCCTCTGCTGAAGGGGCCCTCATTGTACACACACACACACAAATAACGAGCAAAATTATTTGCGTGGCTCCCTTGCTCCCTCGCCCTTGCTCATTGTACACGCACACAAATAACAGGATTCCCCATAGTTTCCCACATGTTCTGGGTTTCTCTTCCTCCTGATCTGCCTCGCACGCTCGTCCGCGTGAAGGTCGCCTCGCACCCGAACCGGGGAGGCCCCCGGTCCCAGGGGTCGGTGCAGGCGAGCTGACGACCTGAGAAGATGTTCGGGAACTCCCTGGAATCGGGGGAAAACAAACCTACCTCGCTTTTGCCCACCCTCGCTTCCAAGAGATACCAAACAATGCCAAATTGCGGACTGTACTGGTCAGGCCGCTTGACGAGGAGGCGCGTGGTATGGCTTGGTTTTGCCTGGAAGCGAAAGCGGGGGAGGTAATTCACGCCCCGATGGAAGCATGCTCCGTGGCGAAGGCCAGCGCACAACCTCTTGTTTGCGCGAGTCGTAACAAACGTCATGTTGTCAATGCTGTGCGTGGGAATGACGCTCTCCACGTTCTGCCCAAAGAGCGCCTTCCTCTGAGTGTGCGTGAGTGTTCTCGGGAACGTGCCAGATCACCTCCTCATCCTGATGAATAGCGGCTGCGCGTCCCTCCTCTGTTGGGGGGGGGAGGGCGGAGGACAAGGGCGAGGATGACGACGAGACCGCGGACGGGAAGTGTGAGGGCGAGAAAGACCGCCAGGAGAAGCGGGAGGAGCGGGGTGGCGAGGAGGAGGAGGGCAACGAAGAGAACGAGGAGGAACGGAACGACGAGAGCAGGAAACGGCGCGGGCTCCAGAGTCGCATCCCATGGGGGTCCGCCATGATTTCGGCTGCCGAACGCAGGGTCGGGAGGGCTGGTCCGGTCGTGCGCCCCGCCAAGCGGTGTGCATCCTGCTCATCTTGTCGATCGTCTCCTTCTGATGGTGGATGCTGTTGTAGGCCGGAACCATGCAGCTATGGACCATGTCGCTGAGCACGCCGCACGCATCGGTCATGTTGACGTGGGCCAAGCGTGCCGTATCGATCCGCTGCAGGTGGCTCTTGAACTCGACGTTGCCGGTCACTCCTGCGGGCTCTTGAAAAATAACCAGGATGCAAGCTTTGTGTGACGTCTGCGTACGGCTTCTCCAAGAGCGCCTGATCCCTCCAGCAGCCCTCCAACACAGAACCAGGACCTAGACAGAATTGAACTGGAATAGATCGGGCCCTGACTTCAGGTCCGCCGTGCTTTGCTAAAGTTTCCCGCTTGCAGGTGTGTTGGAAGGCACCCCAAACGATGTCAACAAAAAGGGGCCGGAAATCCGCCGACCCTTGTAGGTCTTCAGGCGTGTGAGCTTGCCCCCACCCCCCCGTTTGGCCCGGGACGACCCCCCTCGAACGCATCATGGGGGGATCGAGGGTCCCAAATCGGGCCAAGAGTGCCCCAAGAGCCGCCAAGACGGTCCAGGAGTGCCCCGAGTCGCCGAAAGATCTTCCCAAGACGCCCAAGAGTGCCTCCAGACGGCTCAAGATGACCTCGAGACGCCCAAGAGTTCTCCGAGAAGTTTCCCAAGAGGGCCCAACCCAAGAGGCAAAATGCGTTGATGTTCCATTCGCTTGTCCCGGAAAGGGCTCCGGACCAGGGTTTCTTTCAGATGGTAATCCTGTCCCTGGTGCCAAGTTCGCGCTGGGCCGGCAGAATTTACGTCGACAGAAAATAACATGAAAGCCCATCTTGTTTTATAGAACTGCGTTTCGCGCGTGCCCGCACGAGGGAAATTGGAGGCCCTAGAAGTTCTTCCAGAAAATGAACACATGTTGACTTGATGCGTGCCCACTCGAAGATGGCGCGCCATGCGCGAAGAAGTTTCGAGAATGTCTCGAGCGAAGCGCTCATTTTGGAGAAATTGAAAACTTTCGGCGCCCCAGGATGCCCAGGTGGTCTTTGAGAATGTAGAAGCGCATGAAATCTACTTGGGTTCAAGCGTGAAAGCTCGTGGGTTCCTAAAGTCTCAGAGCGGGACAAGGGTGAAACCATTTGGGTTTCTAACGCCGCAGAGCGGGACAAGCGTGACAACACGTGGGTTTCCAACGCGTCAGAGTGGGACAAGCGTGAAAACCCAAAGGAGGGGGACAAATGTGGAAGCACATGTGCTCCTCACGCCCAGAAGCGGGACAACCGGCTTCGTCACGACTCCTGGAGGCAATATTAGGTCGGGCGTGTCCTCCTACAGGGGGATGTTGGACGAGAAACAATAATAAAACAGATTCAACAATAGCCGAATATGGTCTAACAATCGTCCCCAGACAATTTTGAAACTAGTTTGGGATACAGTCAACCAGGATAATAAGGATGCGCGGTAAGGATGCAAGGACCTTGGAACGCCATGTTGAGGTTTTCCGCGCGGAGTGCGGCAGAATTCCGAAGGGTGCAAGGGCACTCTGAGGGGCTGGCCAATGAAAGCTGGCAAGGATGCGCCGAAGGGGCAAGGATGCAAGGGTACCCTGGCCAAGTTGACCCGTCCTTCCTACCATGCTTGGCTGTACTCCTCCTGCAGATGGGAACCAGGAAAGGCGACACCAGCACCAGCGGGGCAAGGAGGTGCGAGGAGGCAAGGGGAGTCTCCCTGGTGGTGTGGTCACCCCCTCTCGCTCGAGACATCCCCAGCACCCAGCTCGGGGAGGCATCGTGGGCCTCCTCGCTGGAGGTGGGCCCCCTGGTGGTGCTGGCATCGCTTCTCCTCCCTCCGATGTAGAGGGATGAAGGGGCCCTGAGACACACAAATAAATACACACAAATAAAATAATCCCCCATATTTTCCCATATTTTCTGGGTTTCTGTCTTCCCGCCCAGTTCCCATATTTTCCCATATTTTCTTCTGGGAAATCCAGGAATAATTGTGTCTGTGTGTTTCTTTTCCTCCTGAAGGGACAGGCCCGACTTAAGAGGCAGTCCTGCGCCACCTCGGCCGGTCCCTGCCATGTCGGACGGCAGCCCCCCGGCGCGCCGCCTACTGGAGTGCGGGGGGGGGGGAGGGAGGGCGGCGCGCCAGCAAAGGGACCGCCTGAGATTCTGCTGCTCCCATCGTACTTGAGGGCTACATCCCAGAGGTAATGTCGAGCACCCAGAAAAGTGTCGAAAGAGTGTCGAAGGAGTGTCGAAGCAGTGTCGTGCGAGTATCTCCCAGGGCCCGACACGTGAAAACTCTCAAGTTTGGGTACTTTCTTGGTGCTCGAAATTCTTTCTGGTGGTCAAGGCTACAGTAGGTTGGAACATCATCCGCCTAAGACAACCGAGATGGAGCTAAGGTCCGCGTCTATTTTGTAGCGCTGCCAGCTTCCGGCAGTCACGCGCGCACCCGTGGTGGCGGGCATGCTGTGATTCACCAGCAAGATGCGAGGCGGGGATTTATCCATATCCACCGCCTGGGAACCGACGGCCTGGTGCCCCAGCTGGCGGTGGGCATGTATAGATGTATATATATATATATATATATATATATTGTTGGCCCCCGGGGGCCCGAATGTATCGCCTGCCGAAGACCCCCAAAACGGATCCTCCAGGCGGTGGTCAATTATAAATTCCCGCCTCGGACAAGAGCCCGTAACCCTTTGGAGGGGACCTAAGTCATAAAGGCCAGCAGCCTCAGGGATCGGGGGCCTCTCTGCAGATATATCAGTCAAAACAGCCCAGATGTAGGATCCCTGATGCGAAGATGGGATCCCCAGTGAGGCCACGTACCCATCGTGCTATCAGGGCTAGGGCTTCTTCTGTGCTCGATGATGCTCGGTGACCCATCTCGGGAGCCATCGGGGGGAGTCCACGGGAGCCCCGCGGGACTGGCGTGACCCCGTGCTGGCCCCGCGGCCAACACGGGGCCGTGCGGCCCCGTGTGTGGCCATGACCCGTACTCTAAACGCAGAGCCCTTTGTGACGCGAGCAGAACTGGTCACTGGTCTCTGTCCTTTTTTTCCTTAAACACCCAACGGTTCCCGCCGTGTTCTTTAGGTTTGATGTTTCAAGGCGGTCGCTCCGCGGAGCGAGCAGCTCGTCGTTCCGTTGGGCCCCCCTCAGCTATCCCAGAATGCGGAAGCACCCATCACTGGTCTCTGTCCTTGGAGGGCCAAGCCCAGGCTGTAGGTGAGCTTCTCGCCGTCGGCCTTGTCCCAATTCTCCAGGCGGCCCCTCTCCCTCTCCTTGACTTCCTCGACGCTCCCGATCTCGGCCCTGGTGTCGTCGAGGAGGTGGGCCAGCCGCACCAAGAACTGGCGGTCGTCGTAATCGCTCGGGTTCATACTCTTGAAGGTCTCCACCTGGCTCTCTGCTGCAGATTTGTTCGCCTTGTTCCCCAAATCAATGCCAAAACCAAGAGATTACTCCAGTGTTCTCTCTGGCGACAGTTTGGAGGCGGATCTGGCCGTGGGAGGCCCCCAAAGCACGAAAAGCGTTCGAATGTCTAGCTCCTCGACTCTCCAGGGACGCGTTCTCGCCAGAGTTTCGGAACGACGACGACGCGCACAAATGCCCCCAAAGCACCAAGCACGTTCTAAGCCTCCGTCCTCCATCGACTGTGGCACGAGCGAAACCCATAGATGCGACGATCCGCTGTGCCTTCCAGCGCTCGAGCTCTCGTGGCACCCAGGCCGCCCCTGAGGGGTCCGATCTGCAAAAGGCTACGGTCGCACTGTGCTTTCTGCTGGTGCCAGACTCTGCTGAATTCCTGGGGCGCGTTCTGACCTGAATTTCTCTGCGGATCCCAGGGTCTCCACCTTGTGCTTCACTGCCTCCAGCATCTTGGCGGAGGCGTACTCGACCTTTCAGGATGGCATCCAGGAACCGCTCCCTGCTCCTTCTCATGCCCCCCCTCCCACATACTCCTCTCACTAGCCCTCCTCTACCTCCGTCTCTTCCGCCCTCCTCTCCCTTCCCTCATCGTCCTCCTCATCGTGGACATCCCTCTTCCTTCCCCCTCTCCTCCTCCTCCTCCTCCTCCTCCTCCTCCTCCGCCTCCTCGTCCTTGTCGACCCGACCGAAGTGCTGGGCCAGACCCGACCTCCCGGACAGTGGACACTCTCCACTACCCCGGCGCGGCGACTTGCTCGGGTCTCCGACTCCTGCAGCTCCAGAGCCATGTCACGGGGCACCGCTGTCATACCGGGTAGCAAGGCCTCGAGTGAGCCTTGGGGATCCGTCCTGGGAGGCCAACGGCCGCATTGTCCATGGAAGCCCACCGATGCTGAGCCAGGCGGTGGCAAGATCCGCTGCGAGACGGGCCAAGAGCAGCCGCGACCTTGGTCGCGGCCTCCTCCCTCGACTGCTGGCCCCTGACAGCGATGAAGGGGCGATTAGGGGGTCGATGCGCTCCCCCCTGAGCACATCCTTCCCTCACGTTGCCCCTGATCTCTCCCTTATCATTCGCTCTTTCACCCTCCCCCTGTCTCTCTTTCTTTCTCTAGTATCGCCGACCCCGAGAGCTCGGGCTCGGGATGGAGCCCGCATCGTTAACTCCCTCTCAGAAGGCAGGCGATGCGTGCGGCGACACAGCGGAGGGGTCCCCAGACACCGCAACGGCAGTCTCCTCTGCATCCACCGCAGGGCGGGGAGAGGCGTTTCCTATCCAGGGCCCGCCTTTCCCCACCCAAAACGGGAGTGGGACCTGGGGGGAGCGGCCTCAGGGTGCTCGCCGAGCTCCTCCTTTACCACCACCCCGTGACAGCGGATCCCGCCCACGCTGCACGAAGCAGCGACACGATTCCCGCTCCTCGTGCCGTCGGCGTCCTCCCACCGAGGGTCCGCGGCACTACCGACGGCAGTGCCGACGGCGACCCTCGAATGGCGGACCGCGGCACTCGGAGGACCCACGGGCCTCGTGGACAAAAACTCAGAGGGTGTCTCAGGTGACTTGCTTGTTTTCACGTGCCCAGGTCTTGAGGATGTCTCGAGCGAGACGCTTGGTTTCACGCGCCCCGGTTGCCCAGGCAAATGTCTAACATGAGGATGTGTTGAGGATGTCTGAAGCGAGACGCTTGTTTCCACACGTCCAGGTCGCCCAGGCTGATGTCTAGCATGAGGGTACGCGATGGATGTCTCAAGAGAAACGCTGGTTTTGCAGAGTTGGGGGATGTCTCGAGCGGGGGGCAGAATTCAGGGGATTTCTCAGGCGAGATGTTTGTCTCCACTTGCCCAGATTGCCCACAAGGGGGTATCAAAAATGGTTGTTTGTATACGGATGGCACCACGCGATTTCATGTGTCCAGGCCACACAAGGGGGGGGTATCTAAGATGGCTGCAATTTGCCCTTAGCTGGATTCATATGTTTTCGCATGATCAGGCCAGTCAGAGGGACATCTGAAATGGAGCCTCCTCGCTGACACCACGTGCTTGTACGTGTCCAGGCCGCCCAGAGGGGTATCTAACATGGTTGCCCAGAGAAGAAGCCATGTGCTTTCACGCTTCTTCCGTTCTGGGCCGAAAGGGGCTCACGTGTTTTCATGCTTGTTCCGCTCAAGGGCGAAAAAGACCCACGTGCGGTTCACTAGTTCCGCTCTGAGGCGAAAGTGACCCACGAGTTCTCACGTTTATTAGTTTCGCGCTCTGGCGCGAAAAAAAACGTGTTTTCGCGCTTGTCCCGCTTTGGCGCGAAATGGACCCACATGCTTTCACGCTTGCTCCGCTCCGGCGCGAAGAAACCCATGTGCTTTCGTACTTATTCCGCACTGGCGCGAGAAAGGACCCACGTGTTTTCACGTTGACTCCGTTCTGGGGCGAAACAACCTACCAATTTTCACGTTTCTCCCGCTCTGGCGTGAAAAAACCCACATGCTTTTACATTACTTCCGCTCTGGCCCGGAAGATGCCCACATGTTTGCACGCTTGTTCCACTCTGGCGTGGCAAAAATTCAAGTGTTTTCACACTTCTTCCGCTGTGGCGCGAAAAGGACCCATGGTTTTCACGTTTGTTCCGCTTTGAGGCAAAACAGACCAACGTGTTGTCACGCTTGTCCCGCCCTGGCGCGAAAGAAACTGAGGTGTTTCCGTGCTTGTTTCGCTCTGGCGCGGAAAAGGAACCACGTTCTTTCACGGTGTTGGTTTCACTCTGGCGCGAAACGTGAAAGTGATCCACGTGCGTTCACGCTTGTGCCGCTCAAGGTCGCAAGGGACCCACATGTTGTAACTATTGTTTCGCTCTGGCGCGAAAGGGGCCCACGTGTTTTCACGCTTGCTCCACTCTGGGGCGAAAAAGACCCACATGCTTTCACGCTTGCTCCGTTCTGGCGCGACACATGGACACACGTGATGTCACGGTGTCGTAAGCATGTGCTTGTCTGCGAGATGCCACGCACGAGCCTTCATACCAGAGCAAAGAGTGGCCCACCAGAGGAAGAGTTTCTCCGACGGCAGGACAGGTCCCCAAACCCCTCCCCGGGGACCACGCGCACCAGTCCTCCGAGATGCGCCCAAGCGCGGCTGCGAGGGCCTCCGAAGGCCAACAAATCCTCGACTCTGGGCCTTCTTGCCTGGAACACATTCCAAGCGCTCGGGCAAAGGGGGGCCGGGGAGAGACGACGAAGGTGGGCAGAGGCAGAGGAGACCGAGGAGGAAAGAGGCGGGAAGGAATTCTGCCGAAGCTGCTTCCGCTCCGACGGCAATCGGCACGCGCAGGACCAGCCCAGCGCGGTGGCCACCGGGCGCAACTGCAACATCCGGGGTGCCTTCCCAGACCCGCAGAGCGAGCCGGACACCTTCCAGAAGGCCCTGCGCGGCATGCGAAGCACGGCATGCGAGCCTCGCACGAAAAAACGCGCGCATGGACGCACGCAGCACATGTCTTCCGACTTCGACCGCGAAGGAAGGAACGGGACTGAACGCGTGGGCAGCGCGTTCCACGATGTACTGGGTATTAGAGCAAACAAACTCAGGCCTCACTGATAACTCTCCTTTCTGTTTTGCAGACGCCTGAACCTCGTACATCTAGAGTGTGAACTTGAGCTCGAACTGATTGAGTGTCCCCCTCGTGTCGATTGGAACCAGCTCTGGGCTAGCTGTGCGCTCAAGCAGCTCGAGCCTACGATCCATACCAATTCAATCAGGATTCCGATGCCAAGGCCGACATAGTCCGCAACGCTATAGAACGCCACGTAATTCATTGCGGCGTGGTACATCTCAACCAGCACGGCACAGCACAGCACAACCCTTGGCACGGTACACCGCGATCGATACCCTCAGCATTGCAGTTGCCCGTCACCCAATCAGGTGTCCAGAACACGGTGTCGCGCCTCGCGTTTCTGAATTCCCTGCGGGGTTCGTGGGTCGACCATTCTTTTCGCCCCCCCCAGAGGTCACTCCCGCCAAAGGTCACTCTCACGTCTAGTCTTAGGTGGTCGGGCCTGTCCCCCTACAGGCGGATTTTGGAAGAAAAATCGAGCATAGTCAAAACAAAGATTACGAACGTGCCCAACCATAGTTGAAAAACCGTCCCCCGAGTATTTCACATACTATGTTTGAAGACTCCTCATGTAGAGGGACAAGCCCGACTTGAGTCTCGACGAACGGCATCCTGCGGCCCTCTCGCCGCAGCCCGCGGCCCCCCTCCCGTGAGCAGAGGCCTCCTGGATGGGGTCCGAATAGATTGTGTCGAAGGATCGGGCCGCATCGCCAATGCATCGCCGACGTATCGGCGATGCATCGGCGATGCATCGGCGACGTCGGCGTGGGGAAACACGGGCTCCACATCGAGCCGCATCGTCGATGCATCGGCGATGCGGCTGGATCCTTCGACCCCATCTAAGAGGCCTAGGGTGAGCCGTGTCGCCAGCTGCACGCAGGGAGTGGCCCTCGGCAGGCTTGCCCGTTTGGTGTGCGGCGCCGGGGGGGACTAATTAGCGGGGAGGCCGGAGCCAAGCTTTCGGAGGCAACCCATAGGGGCGAACAGATCAGGGGGGAGCATTGCACGCACCCCTCCGGGAGCCTCGCTGAAGACAGTGGATCATCGGCGCCCCTGGATACATGTACTGCTCCCCCCTGGGCTACTCGACCCTCTCGTCGCCTCCGACAGGCGCGCGGGCCAGTGGCGGGGGGGGCCCTGAGGGCCCGCACCCAGGGTCACTTCGGCGGAGGGTCGCTCTTTCGCGTAGCCGATCTCCCCCTGACTCCCTCTCCAGCTCCGGCAGGGAGGAGACAAGAGGTGACCCACCTCTCCGATGGCTTGCCCTTCCTCTTTCCCCCCAAGTCCAAAACTAGCTCTGGCCTCCGGTGAGCCCCCGGGCGTCCACTCGTGTGCCCCCCTCGCGCCTGTGCTGATACGTGGGTCCAGCTTTGAATCTGGGGGGTAGGGTGCGTCAGGAGGTCCACTTGTTGTTTGTCCTTCTGCGGTACATGTTTCCCCCTACTGTTTTTCTTCCGCCTCCCCCCTACTCCTCTTCTTCTCCCTCCTGTTATTCCCACTCTTCCTATCCCCCCCATTCCTTCTCCCCTTCCTCCTCCTCCTCCTCCTCCTCCTCCTCGTCCCCTTCCATCTCTCTCCTCCTCCTCCTCTTCAGCCTTCCACCTTTTACCCCCTCCCCCACAGCCTTTGATCGCGAGGCGGCCAGCTTGTCCTCGATCCAGAGGCCGGTCATGTTGTCGTGCCCCTGCCTCCCGAGGGTCGCCACCGCTTTCGGTGCCGACTGGGCCTCCTGGAGACCTCGGACCTCCCGAGACAGTCGTCGTCGCGCCGCCGTCGTCGCCGCCGCCGTCGTCGCCTTGGTCCTCGCCTTCCGAAGTGCCGCGCCCGCCCCAGGCGCGGGACTCGGCCTGCTCGCGTCGGCTTGCTGACCGTCGTCGTCGTCGTCGTCGTCGTCTTGCTCGCCTGCCGAAGGTCTCCATCGCGATCATCATGCCGTCCAGATCCCCCTTGGAGATGTCGAGCATCTGCAGGATCTCGCCCTCGGGAGGCAGGGGGGCGGCGGTGGGGGCCAGGGATCTGGCGGCGCGGGGGGCGCGGAGCAGGAGATCTGCTGGTCATCTGCTGCGCAGCGCTCGACGCCGAGCTGCGGCCTGGAGCGGTTGCTCAGCGAATCGCGGCGGCGGCCCCAGCGACACGCTGTGCCCGGCAAGCGGTGAGATCAGCATCTTGCTCCGCTCCGCGTGGCGGGAGGCTGGAGCAGGCGCGGGATGTCGACGCCCGGTGACCAGGACGTGGCTAATCAGCGTGTCACGCCGATGCGTGGTGGGCCGGGGACGGCGGAGCGACGCGCCCAACAAAAGTGCCAGGGCGGATGTGTTGCTCTGTCTTGTTGTGTCCCTGCATGTGGCGCCGGTGTTAGTGCCAGCGTTGCCCGGGCAACAAGAGCACGACCGAGAGCCGAAAGAGGCGCGAGAGGTATGACATGAGGACCCCCTATGGCACCCCAACAAGTGCAACGCTGCCTCGCCCCCTGGCGCGGGAACGACACCCTGGCAAGAGGAGCTCCTCCCAATCTTTGTGGCGCTGTCTTCTGGTCCGCAGGAAGCCTTACGCTCGTGTTGAATACAGCTGCTGCAGCCGAGTCTCCTGGCCAGGCGCCGCGAGAAACCTGGTCTAGATTCCACGTCCCCGCCTTCCAAGCGGGCGATGTGCCTAGGTCAGGTTTCGCAGGGACCCTCTTCAAGGGCACAGACATCGCCAGAGCTGGTGATGGTGCGATGCAACATCTGGATCTGGCGCGCATGTAGTGACCGGACTGCAACTTGCAACCTCTCGTGTGCATCGGGATGCAGACCCAGCAACAATGGTCGAAACAACCTGGACACTGAGAGGGTTGGCAGGTGTCGGAAGCCACTGGAGGACACCAGTTCGACCACCAACCGCCCCGAACGCACCGAGCATGGGGCCTTCAGCCCATGCTTACCCGACTCGGTGGAAACGTCCAAATCCCAACCCCGCGAATCATCGATCCTCCTGAATCGAAGGCGGGGGGTAAGGTTCGAATCTCGCTACGTGTTCGGCGACTTCGGGGCCCTACCCCCGCCGCCCATCGAGGTGCCTGAGTCGTGATCGTCGAGGGTAGGGTTCGGATTTTGGGGGGAGGGGGGCGGAGTCCGGCTCCGGACCTCTGCTTCATGCGACCACTTGCAGCAGTGTGTCCCGTGGGGGGAGGGACTCTCCACCTGCTCGAGACAGGCGCCACAAACAGCCAAGATGTACTCCATATGGGGGGGAGAGGGGAGGGGGGGGGATGCGAGGGCCCGCGCCCATCGGCAGAGCAATGAGTGGGTAAACGCTCGCTTAGCTGCCTCAGGGCAGCGAGCTCTTCTGGCAGCGGCCTGCTGGAGAACGCCGGGGCGGCGCGAGCGGGCTGGCGGGTGCAGCGGGGGCCAACGCTCGACGGGGGCCCCGGGTTTGGCGCCCTCATTCGAGATGCAAGCAAGCACCGTGCATGAAAACTGTATGGCTCGAGCCGCTTCCGTTTCCAAGGCATTTTCTTTGGCTACCTGGTTCGGGCGCAGCTGAAGCCGAACGGCGGCCACGGCCACGGCCACGGCCACGGCCACGGCCACGGCCACGGCCACGGCCACGGCCTCGCCAGTCTGCCTTTCCCCTAGGTTGTTGGTCTCAACCCGCTGCCGTGGAAACTCACAATCTTCAGCCCGATTGCCGCTCCTGTGGCTTTTCGCGAACCATGTGTAGTACCCCGCAGTTGCGGATAAGAGTGAGGGGGCGGGCGCGGGGTGCGTCGCGGGTGGGTCGCGGCTGGGTCGCGGCTGCGTCGCGGGTGGGTCGCGGGTGGGTCGCGGGTGGGTCGCGGGCGGGTCGCCGGCGGTTCGCGTGGGTCGCGGGCCGGGTCGCGAGTGGGACAACGAAGCAACAACAACAACAACAACAACACCACCACCAACAACAACGACAACGACAACGACAACGACAACGACAACGACAACGACAACGACAACGACAACGACAACGACAACGACAACGACAACGACAACAACAACAACAACAACAACAACAACAACAACAACAACAACAACAACAACAACAACAACAACAACAACAATAATCAATTGAATATTGTTCGCCCTTATCTGCTCGAATGTCCAATAACGCGTATTTCCCAAACCCTCGATACCGGCCCTCTTCGTCTTCGATCGAACCCCTTTGGGGGGGTATACCTTTCTTCCCTGCAGGCCGCTCCCCGGCAAGCGGCGGGGCGGCCGCGGACCGTCGGCCTGGCCAGCGGCAGCGCTGATCGGCGGGGCGGCCGCGGACCGTCGACCCGACCCCAAGAGGGGCGGACAGGGGACCGACCACGACGACGACGACGACGAGGACGGCGACGTCCACGACGACGGCGACGACGACGGCGGCGAAAGCGAGAGCGAGAGAGAACGACAGCAGGGCCACAAGGACACGAAGTAGGCCACGAAAGGCGACAACGGGGACACGAAGGGAATGCGGATAGGGGCCACGAAGAGCGCGAACGAGCGGGGGCCACGAAGGGCAGATAATGCGGGGCCACAAAAGGCAACGATGGGGCCACTGAGGGTAGCAACAGGAAAACGTAGGACAGTGAGGGGGCCACAAACGGCGACAGCGAGGCCAAGAAGGGCATGCACATGGGGCCACAACGGGCGCGAACGAGCGGGGGCAACGAAGGGCATACGTATACTGGGCCGCGGAGGGCAAAGACGGGGCCACTGAGGGCAGCAACGGGGCCACGAAGGGCAGCGAGGGGGCCACGAAGGCCGACAGAGGGGCCACGAAGGGCATGCATATGGGGCCACCACGGGCGCAAACGAGCAGGGGCCTCGAAGGGCATACATATATGGGGCCACGAGGGGCAGCGAGGGGGCCACGAAGGGATGCAACGTGGCCACGAAGGGCAGCGAGGAGGCGACGAAGGGCTGCAACGGGGCCACGACGGGCTGCGAAGGGGCCACGAAGGGCAGCGAGGGGGTCACGAAGGGCTGCAACGGGGCGACGGAACAAAACGAGGGGGCCACGAAGGGTTGCAACGGGGCCACGAAGGGCAACGAGACCCCGACTCATAAGTATTATGTGAGGGAGTCCTAAGCGTGAGCGCGACTCCTGGGTGCCTGGGTGTCGGGAGCGCGGCGCTTGAGTAAATTGCAGGAAATTCCAACGCAAGGGCGCTAGTCTTCAGTAAATTGCAAGCAAATCTCCAGCGAGAGCGCGACTCCAGAGCGCCGTGAGAGCGATTCCTGAATACACTGTAAGGAAGCGAGAGCGCGATTCCATAATAAAATGCGAGGAAATCTCGGGCGAGAGAGGGGGTCTTGGCTAAATTGTGAGGAAGTCTACGGCGGGAGCCGTTGTTGTTGTTGTTGTTGTTGTTGTAACCCGGGGGCCAGGGGCCCAGTTTGAGCCTCAATATTTTCTCTGATAAAGAATATGGTGCAAGCGTCGAGGGGCACACTTTGATTGAGGAAAAACAATATGCACCGGAGGGTGGATCAACAATAATTGTTCTTCAGACATGAGAGTTCAACAGCAATAACACACGAATAACAATCATGTTGCCATCATGCAAGATGTTTCCACACGAAGCATGCGACCATCATGGTGACCATCCACATCGTGGGGGACTCTTGTTCTATAGCGGGGTCCGTTATTCCCAAACCCAGATATCTCGCCCAATGAGGTCTTGCAAACACCTCCTCAGAGGAATTTCAACATATCCCACCTCGAAAACACTACAAGGCCGCGCCTTGCTGCGCCGATGCGAGACCGCCAGTGGAACCCCAACGAAAGGTAAAGCACAAGGAAGTATCGAACGACAGGATTGCCTTGGTGGGGATGGGGGCTGTCGGCGGTGAGGCAAGGACCTGGCCCTGAATAGAAAAGGAGGAAGTCTCGAGCAGGGCTGCTGTTGTTGTTGTTGTTGTTGTTGTTGTTGTTGTTGTTGGGAGCGGCGCCAATGCTGAAGAGAGTAGGGCGCCAGTCCAGCGTAAAACATAACGAAGTCTCGAGCGGGAACGCTGGTTTTGTTGGGACGGCGGCTTTCGGCGGCGAGGAGGAACACCGCCTCGAGTAAGACAGGAAGAAGCATCGAGCGGGAGCCGTGGTTTTGTCGGGACGGGGGCTGTCGGCGGCGAGGAACAGCGACGTCCCGGGGAAAAAGAAAGGACATCTCGAGCGGAAGCGTTGTTCTTGCTGGGAGCGGCGCCAATTCAAAAGAGAGTAGGGCGCCAGCCCAGCGTAAAACGGAAGGAAGTCTCGGGCGGGAGCGCTGGTTTTGTCGGGGCGGCGGTTTTCGGCGACCGAAGAGGAACACCGCCTTGAATAATAAGGAAGGAAACATTGAGCGGGAACCGTGGTTTTGTCGGGACGGGGGTTGCCGGCGGCGAGGAACAACACCGTCTTCAGGAAAAAGGGAGGAAGCCTCGAACGGGAGCGCTGTTCTTGCTGGGAGCGGCGACAATTCAAAAGAGAGTAGGGCGCCAGCCCAGCGTAAAACGGAAGGAAGTCTCGGGCGGGAACGCTGGTTTTGTCTGGAAGGCGGTCTTCGGCGGCGAGGGGGAGCACCGCCTTGAGTAAAAAAGGCAGGAGGCCTCGAGCGGGAGCGTTGTTTTTGCTGGGGGCGGCGCCGATGAGAGAAAGACTAGCGCGCCAGTCCACGGTAAAACCGGAGGAAGTCTCGAGCGGGAGCGCTGGTTTTGTTAGGACGGCGCCTTTCGGCGGCGAGCAAGAACACCAGGCCTGAGCAAAAAAAGGAGGAAGTCTCGAGCGGGAGCGTTGCTGTTGTTGGGGGGCCGGTTTTGGCGGTCCCCCTGACCGCTCGAGCGGGAGCCTCATTTTCGATGAACATGTAGCCTGCGCCTCGGCGAGAGCGCCAAAGCGCCTTTAAGATGTCCAACAATAATAATTGTTTAGTGCGTAACATTTAAAGACAACGCCAACAACAACAATCATGTTAAGACTGTTTGCTCCGATCTGCTCAAGTGCC